CCGACCGCCGGGGCGCTCCCAAGACGGGGCACCCCAGCCCACCCCAGCCGCCCCCGGCCCTCCAAGGGGGCCCACCTAGCCAACGCTGGGGAGGCGGTGGCCACGAGTTTGACTCTGGCCTTGTGTCCCATCAGCCACCTACGTCTGGGCGAGCCACACTGCCTGTCCTAGCCTCGGTTTCCCTGTGTGAAGACCAGGGCCGCTGTGACGACAGAAGGAACAAGGCACGCAGGCGCTCAATAGCTGGTCCCCACGCCCAGGAGGGCCGCAAAGGTGGCCAGGAGGCCGTCCGGGGTCCAGGCGCTCACCACAGCCTCTCACAGACACCAATCCTTCCGTTTCACCAAGACCAACGCCGGCCACCACGGCGCGGAAAGGTGGTCGCCGTGCCCCGGCCCTCGGACCCGGGTCCGTGAACTGGGGTTTCATTGTGGGCCCTCCTATTGGAGAGTCATCAGACATGGGCCCCGGAACTGCACCCTCAGGGCCAACCCGTTGGGCCCCATCTCTCCTCTGGCCCTTTCTGTGGCCAGGAGCTGAGGCGGTGACCACGGCTGGCTCTGTGCGGGGTAGAGGGGATGGCGTGGAGCGGCCGTGGCTACGCCTGCCTCCCCGTCAGTGACTAATGGAGGGAGGGACAGCTCGGGCACCTCAGGCCAGGCTGCCAGGGGAATGCTTTCATATGCCTTATGCCCGGGCAGGGCCGGTCATGCCCAGAGTGCGAGTGGTGGGGAGAGAGGGAGGGAGCGAGGACTCTGGCCTCCCTCACAGCCACGTGACCAGCTCGCCAGCTGATGACAGAGACAAAGCAGGTAGGATTCCAATGCCACGCACCCCGCCAGGAACGCCGGGAACGCCATTCCAGCCAGAGCTTGGCAGGGCTGCCAACAGCCTGGCCCCGGGAGGAGAGGGTCCCCGTGCTCCGCCGGGGGAGCCACTGCAAACCAGGTGGCAGTCTCAGGGCCGAGGTTGCCGCTGCAGGAGGAGCTGGCACCCCCACCCTGACACACACATGGCCGC